CGTGGGGGGCACAATCCTCCTTGGCTCTGCTAAGCTGCACCCTCTATCTAGTGCCCACCCACTGAGGGCCCGACTTACCTCCCTGCTCTGCACAGTGGGTCAGGTCAGGGGTCCACCAGAGAGTCCGCCAGGGTCCTAGCTCATAGGGGCACAACAAGCTTGCACTCATGCATCTCTCACTGTAACTGGGCCCAAACTGTGGGGGGGGTTTTACCATTGGGGGGCCCTTTTAAAACCCTCACATGGGCAGATTGCTGCCAGTGCTGCACATGCACAGATTGCTGCCAGCGCCACGCTGCTTTCTGGGACAGGTATCCCCTGTCCCTCCAGAGAAGGGGGCAGGTAAGTGCCCCCCATCCCCTAGTCCCATGCTAACCCATGTCAGGCCACTCCAGTCGTGTGGCTCCCTAGGGGGCTGGGTTAAGTAGGAGCTGTGGGGGGCCATGACCCTCTTTGGTTCCACTCAGCTGCCCCCTCTGTCTAGTGCCCACCCACCACGAGCCCCACTTGCCTCCTGGCTCTGTGCTGGGGGTCAGGTCAGGGATCCGCCAGAGGGTCCGCTGGGGTCCTAGCTCAGAGGGGCGCAACAAGATTATACCCATGTGTCTCTCCCCAGAGCTGGGCCCAAACTGTGAGAGTGGTAGCATTGAGATGATGTTGTTGCCATGATGGTCCAGGAGCTATGCAAGAGGCAAGAATTCTTATGGGTGATTTTTTTTTTATTGGGACAGACAAGAGTCCTTGTGACCAATATCTTTTATTTATGTCTCAGCTGTGTCTGCTTCAGATACCATGATACTCAAAAGCTTATTTATGTCTATACCAACCATACAGTTGATCCAATAAGAGATATCACTGACAAGAATTCTTGCCTTGTGGATTTTGAGGTCATTTTCCACTGTAACAACACTTTTAATTCTAGTAGCTTTAGTTTCACGTTCCTGACTTAACTTGTTTTTCTTGTTCCAGATCTGAAACAGGTGTTATCAAAGCCAGATCTGCTGCAGGGGCCCTAATTGCTCTCTCAGGAGACAATCTGCTTACAAAATACAGAGGTGGGAATCCATGACCTTTACACTCTCTTTTAGGTGCTGAGTATTGACAGCACTTTCAATATATCTTATTTCTATGCAGAAAGAAAACAGAGTCCTTCTGTACAAAAAGTTAATACACGGAAATAAAATGTACTGCCTTACATAGGCAGAAAAGGTTGATGCAGAAGAATAGCATCCATTAATCAATGTCCATTATATAATGCCTCTTGCATAAGCATCTCAGAGTAGTTCATAATATCCCTTAAGAGAAGTAAATCTTAGAAGTTAAAACCCAGGTTCAATTACTGTAATTGTGAAAAGATCACTTTCAGCCTCTAGCTCAGACAGAAACCATCTAAATTAGATACAAGAAGATAGAAGAACTCTTGAAATAAAGATGATAATAGGTAAAGGGTTGAGTATAAAAAGTGAAACTCCCCTCTATACAATGGGCCAGCACAAAGGTTTATGCGTGACGCACATCCTCAGAATAGAACTTAAGTGGGGCCTCTGGCTGGTCTTCTGCACAGGTATATATTTTACATAAATTGATTTGTAATTAACATCACAGAAGCTAAATCCAGCAGTAGACTGGCAAGTTCTTATGGTCATGAAAAGGAGTTCATTGTGTGCTCTTCCCACCTACTTGGCCTAATCATCAGGAATTAGAAACTATTCTAACTCATTAGCTGTGATGGAATAGGCATCCAGTGATTGTCACGTTAGTATTTCTTGGGAGTAAGTTCAGAATCTTTAGACTCTGCCACGATTCTAAGCATCTCTTCTGGCTGCTTGCAGCTTTCTTTCAGTTTTATGTTGACAAAGATCAGGAGGAGGCCTTGATGAGTCGGAGCAGCCTAAGAAGTCTACTAACAGACTTGCATCAGGTACTGTCACTGTTCTTAAACTGCATGTGTGGAATAGACAGCAAGTCTCAAAGAGGAATTCCAAGAGAGTTATTGCAAGGGATAAAAATGTATGGGATGTTAGTTCCCTAGGCTTCTTTAATAAAGTCAGTTGGACTCTCAGGAGATGGAGATCTACTGTGCAGAAACTGCTCTAGGATCTGAATGTAGGTATCAAATCTAAGGGCACATGCAACAGTTGTATAGATATTAAATTATATCTGTCTAAGCTGCTATGACACAACTGTTATACCTGCATAATTATGTAGCAATACAAGTGTAGCAAAATTGTTGCAACTTTAGTCCCGTTTCAGTCCAGCTGAAAGTTACAGTAATTTAGGTATCCTGTATTGCTACAGGAGCATGCAGATATAGAGGGTACATCTAACAGCTGTTACATGCTCCCAAGCAGCAGCAGCTCTCCCTCCCCTTTTAAAGAGTTTAAAAGGTATATTTGTTCATAGCCTCGGTCAAAATACCCATTGGCATCAGTGCCTGTCCTGAGAGTTTTTTCAGAGCTTATGATAGCCAGATCCTACAAGTACTTCCACAAGCATGAATGTGCACCCATGCTGAGCGCTCTTAGTGTGGAAGGGGCTCCATTGAGGTATGTGTCCATCCCTGTGCAGAGCTGCCTATAGGTTCAGGGCCTTATCAGTCATAAATTACTCGCTGAAAACAAACTGTCAGCTGACACTGCAACGAGCTCTCAGATAGGAGATACTACTGTGGTGCAGTCAGGGTGAATTTTGTTACATCAGCATTTTTAGAAAGATCATGGAATAAGCCTATGTTGCAAAAACCAAGTCTGTCCATTACTGGGTTCAGTGCTCTAGCCTGACAGCACAATATGTTGATTGATATATAATAACTGGGGTGGAGATACAGTCACTCTGACACACAATGAAGTTTGGAATTACATGCTGATATCACATGCCTGCGTTAAAACAGCCTTTCCTCTAGTAAAGGAAGCAAATGGCTTTTCTATTGATGCTTCTCTATCTGTGCTCTGATACCACCCTAATAGAGCATGGTGGCAGCATCTGTTTTTTAGCATGGTATTACTGAATAGCTGCTTTTCTTTCTGGTGCAGATTCCAGCCGTCGTGGGGGAAAGCTGTGCTTCATCCTGTGTCGAAATTGCTATTCACAGCTGTTTCCATGGGGTGAGTAGAATTCAGATGGTCTGTGGAGGTGATTGTGAACGTTGTTGACCAAGTGAAATGTCAAGGTATCACAGGGTAATATCCAAGTTTACTTTATTTTAAGGGGTAGGATAATTTCCAAATCCCAGGGGATAAACCTCTGTAGCAGACTTGACACCAGTGAAGGAAGGTATATAATGAGGTACCTAGCATGGACCTCTGGCCTCACATGGAGACTTTTTGAAGTCAATGGTGTCCTACATTAGACAGGAGATCATTTGGGTTTAGAGATTTTGGCTTAGGATTGGGGTTTATATTTTGAGCTTTATGTAATGCAATAATGCATAAAATTGATATTCTTTTCCAGGTTCTGAACTCAGCAGTTGGTGAAGAGAAATTCCTATCTTGGCTAAGAACTGAACCTGCCCTTCTCCTGTGGCTTCCTACTTGTCATAGATTATCAGCCGCTAAAATGGTCACTCACAATGTTAGATGTAGAGTCTGCAAGAATTTTCCCATCACTGGATTAAGGTGAATCAATATTTACTGTAATATTACTTGCATCACCTAGAGGCCCACCAGGATCAGGACCCCATCATGACAGACAGTATGAATGGACATAACATAGAAAGGCAGACATGTAACAGCATTAAAGGAACATGATCATACAGTGACATGGAAAAGTACATGACATGGAATTTTACTTTTTTTAATATAGCTTGTATTTACTTGAATTATTTTCTTCTTAGTTTTCTCAAAATCATAGGCCCTACTTACATCATGCAGTGATATTACAGTTCCTAGTGAACTGTTTTTAGAGATAAGCTGCTATATGAGAGAGAATGAAGATGCAGCTGCAGTATTTAAGGTGATATCATGTACAACTGTTGCTTCACTGTATGAAGTTTTGCTGCAACGATGCAGTCTAAGAAACAGTATATTATCATCAGATCAACAATTAACTCCTGTTTTGCTAATAAAATCTCAGCTCTTCCGTTGGTGTGGGAAACTATTGTTCTATTACCAGTATCTCTCAAGAACTCACTTCTTCTGGATGTTGATTGCCAGCATCCCAATTCTTTTGTAAGAAGTTCTCAGACCCGAGAATTAACCTGATCCTTTCTGTTTTCTCCTGACAGATATCGCTGCCTGAAGTGCCTAAATTTTGACCTTTGCCAAGTCTGCTTCTTCACCGGGCGTCTTAGCAAACCTCACAAAAAATCACACCCTGTAACTGAGCACTGTGTGCAGGTACTGTGCCAATTTAATGGATTTACTTGCTTGCTTGGGGCACCTGCATTGATTATATTGTGCATATATTAACTATCTGGCAACTTTTAAGTCAGAGAAAGACAAGTACATTTAAGTTTGCGTTTTGTGTTCTGCTTTGAATTAAATAACAGTTTTAGTCACGTGGAAGTCTCTGGAGCAGCTCCTGTCTTCCCTTCGGTGGGTGATACAAGAAAGCAGTGCTCCAAAGCAGCCTCTAGCCCATTTTTGAATGTGGGTAAAGCACCTTCCATTGCTTTGGTGTTTTGTTCATGAATAGCAGGTGGGGAAGGAGTCTGGTGTCAGGAACACTGTATGTCACTGCCCATCCCTCCCAGTCCCACCACGTGTCCAGTGAGGTGCTAATGCTGCTTGAAGCTGCATTAACTCCTTGTGAAGCTTCCTCTGTTTTATAGGTTAACTGTCACCCTATATTGGAGGCTTCAATACCTGTATCTTACAGGAGACTACCTTTCTCCCCCTGGCTCCACTCAAGCTTGGCTGATGGCAGTATGAAGCCACAGACAACAAGGAGATTCAGTCCCTCCCCTGCCCCCACTCCAACTTCAGCCTCTTCTATACAGTGGAAAGTCATCATGTCCATCAGAGGAATATATGAAATATAATATATAGATGTTGTGAGAAGTTTCAATTGGGCACTGCGCAACAGAGTTCATAGAAGTCTGCTGCAAAAAGCTTATCATTCTAAAAGACTTCAGAAGCCGTATAAGAAGCAAAGGCAACGCATACAGTGATCAGGCTGGGGGAACAGGGAAAGAAGCACCTCTGCATGCAAGAAATGTTCAGGTCTGCTTCAAGAAGATCCACACAAATAAACCCCCAAATTTGCACAAAGCCCTCTTGACGTCAAAGAGTTTCTGGACACCATGACTCTGATCAGAGGGATGTGCTGGAAGAATCAGGGCCTTCAGCTCTGTCAGCATTAGAAAATGAGCTGTGCTGAAAGCAGTTTAGAAATCCACATTACTTCCCCAGTAGTGGCCTTGAAGAAGGGCAAACTGGGGGATTGCCTGGGGCCCCACGCTTTATAAAAATAAAAATTAATTACACTGAATACTTGTATCAATATTGTATTAAGGTACTTTCATTGCAGTTTCATGGATAGGGCAAAGTGAAACTGAAATGGAAAATGTCTGATTTGCTTATAGGCTATCAAAATTAAGCCTCTAAGGGGCCCCAAATGACTCTTACCCAGAGCCCCAACAACCCTAAGGCCACCACTGACTTCCCCTAACTCCTAAATGAGACTGAGCACAAGTCCCATGTCCAAGAAGTCCTTAACAACCCAAGCAACAGCAAAACAACTGGCTTCCGCACACAGCATAGCACTGTGTGGCTAACACTAAGTTTCTTTTAAAAAGGCTTGGAGCAGTAGGTAGAGAGAAAATATTTCACATCAGCACTTCTTTTCTTTACCATACTGACATCTTGTGGTAATTTTATTACCATCACAGGAAATTAGTATAATGTACATGGTATGTTCACACTGCATTTTCCTGTTTGTTCTCTTAAAATGATTCATTTTCCTGCATAATAGAATAAAAATGACACCACATCAGGAGGTCAGCATTTTACATCTGCTTTGCCTAGCTATAACACAACGTGTAGGAAAATGAAGAACTAGGCCCTTTACTAGTCTTCAGATACGTTATTTAAACAACCTCGGGAAAGATCATGGATTATCTCTAACACGTATTATGTAGCTAAAGACAAGGGTTTGTCTTCTTCTCTACTAAGTTCCCAGCAAGCTGGGGAAGAGTGAGTAATATTAGTATCCACAAAGAGCTGTAATTATTTTCATCATGCATCGTCTGGTGCAAATAACACACACACACACACACACACACACTAAGTAAAAAGATAGTTAATTACTTGCTGATATAGTGATAGACTTCAGTGAATCTGTCCCAGTTTGCAATTTGGATGATATTTTGAGGGTTTTATGGAATACACTCAACTATTTAATAAATCTGAAAGCTCTGTTAATACTCACTGAGCTCGTCTACATGCCTCTATGGCACCACTGTTGCTGTGCCATCATTTGCACAGTTCAGTAACAGGCGGTATTGCACTGTGTGTGCTCTGCATGATTATTTTAGCTGCCATGTTGCTGTAGCGATATGCGATACTGAGAGAGCACGCCGCTACTGCGACATAGCTTAGCTTCAGCATCACGGTTTTTGCCTGTGCATTGCTACGGTGACATAGTGTCACATGTAGATGTGCCCACTATGGAGGGAGCCAGGCCCCAAATACAGGAATTTGCCACAAACTGTAGCAACAAAAACTGTCAGGCTGGGATTGAAACTCAAGGGTTTCTGTTTCTGTTTTTCTTAACATTTTATCTTACCTGTCCACTGTTGTATTTGAGCACTTCATAACTGTTATGAAGAACTGTGGCACAGAAACAGCAAACAAATTGCCCAAGGTCCCAGAGGGCATCTGAACTTGGATCTCCTAATTCCAGAATTAGTGTCCTACCTACCAGACTCTCCTTTGTCTCAATTCTCCTCACTGAGCCCCAGCAGCCAGATCTTAAACTGTCAACCATGTGGGCTCCTGCTTTCTTGTAGGTGGGAAAGGAAAGGATTCAGCTTTGTCTGGGCCTATATTGCCAGACTGCCTGCTGCTTCTGGGCAATGCTTATTTTAAAATCCACTCCCTTCTCTCCCGTGTGTCATTCCAGCAGGTGTCAGCAAAGGAGAATGCAAAGCTCTTTCTCCGCACTGTCAGAAACAACCTGTTTCAGGAGCGCTGCAGAAGAAAGGAGGCTCAGAGAAGGAAAGCCTTGGAAATGCTGCAGGGAGGGGATCTCCTAGCACCTGAGCCAGTCCTGTGAGTGTGGTTTTGAAAAGACTAGATACGTCTTAACTGCACAACATTTGTTACTTGCTTATAGCAGTTCTAAAGCAGAAGCCATTCTTGGACATAAGTTACTTGGCTGAGCCCATTAAGAAAATAACTCTGGTGTTTTGTAAGTGAAATGTGGTCAGTGGTTCATCTATAAAACATGAAATAAATAAGATTAAATAAAACAGAAGTGTTGTAACCACACAGCCAAAAGCAGCTACCACCCATTTATCATAGATTCATCTTCTTTTAAAAAATAAGTCAGTTGAAATGGGTCTTTGTGCAATTTATCAAGGCACTGCCCCATTGAAAAGGCCAATAGAGTCTATGTGGGGTACTGGCTGACAGCCTTTTCCAGGCCATGACCAAGCTACAATATAAAAACCCTGGGCGATTCTTGCTGCCATAAGGCACAGGAGGGTGATCACAGTGCCTCTTATTCATGATCTCTACTTCAGGATCCCTAGTTTGAGAAACTAGGAGCTGAATAATTATTGTTTATAACTCTGACGCCCTTCTGCAAAGGGCAAGAAGAATAATTTCTATCCTGCTTTGGTCCTGAATAATAGCTATTGAAGAACTTTTAGTATTATGACAAGCAGAGAGGACAGGATGAAACACAGGCTGAAAAGGGGCCTCTCAAGCCATGAAGACTGGTTCCCTGGATTCACAGGCAACCATTTACCCAGAGTCCTAAAAATCATTCACTCCAGTCTCTTTTAACCACATTATAAAAACAAACTCTAAAACACCCTACAATATGCCACAGGTCAAAAGCCAGGGAAACAAGGACACTGGCAATACATTTCTGCCATTGAGTGTCCAAGTATTTCAACTAATGTGTGCTCAGAGGAGCTTAGGAAAATGACATGCCTCAAGCTAGTCAGAAATGCAAAAAAAATAAAAACAAACAAGCAAACAAACCCACAGCATTGCCAATCTGACCTGAATGAAAACATCCTTTCAGACCCCAAACCTGGCAATCAAATGGACATGAGCAGAAGAGCAAGATCCTGTAGCCAGATACCTGAGCGGTTCCCAAGTACAAACAGAAGCACCAGCACTCATCAGTCATAATTCCCACCCTGACACACAGCCATTTTCCAGTGCTTCAAAAAAAAGCCAAAACGCTCAGAAATCAATAAAGTGTTCATGCTGGGGGGAGGAAAACATTCCTTCCCAGCCACTACAGACAATCAGCGGAAGTTCTGATTGACAGACATCTCCCATGCAAAGAAAGTTACACCTCTCAAATCTAACAAATTCATAGAAGTAGGGTCCGAAGGGACCTTGTAGATCTTCTAGTCCGACCCCCAACCCTGGGCAGGAGAGAAAACTGGGCTCAAATGACCCCAGCCAGGTAAACGTCGAGCCTCCTTTTGAAGACCCTCCCAGGGTAGGAGCCA